AAAAGTAAGACTGGTAGCAGACAGAAATAGTTGTGGGAAAGAAAAGAAGGACCCTCTAGAAGCGCCCAACAAACACCCGCGATGAAACGAGAATAAACATGAATACCTTGCCAATAAAAGGTACAACAAAAAAGAAGACCCGTAAGATAGATTCCACACCATAAATTTATTAAACAGATACATATCATTTCAACTTGATGTACAAAAGGAGATTTTGCGCAGTTTCAATTTAGTACCAAGGATTCTGAAAGCTCCCCTGCAGTTCAAAGGAAAGGCACACAAGAAAGATTATGGCAGTCCAAACATTACAGAAATTCAGGTTTTTTTTACTTCTTGAACTGTTCTTCAAACGGACAGAAAAACATATTGACAGTTCAGTCTTTAGTTTTAGTAAGATTTTTACGGCACTTGCATAACAATAAGGTCAAATAAGTGTTGAAGATTAGAGGTGTTAAAAGAGAGTAACAAACACAAAAAAGAAGGAGGGGAGATAGAGATTATATATTTTTTATAGGAAAGAAGGATAAAACCACAACAGAGCACCCGCCCACAACCCACGCAGTTAAGTCTGTATATACATATTTGATACGAGTTCCAAAGGGTCTACAACGTAGGGTTGGAGTTCAGTCAAGATAAGTTTTAAAATGTCAACATGAGGTCGATTCTAAGTCACGATGGGGTTGGAGCAAAGTCAAGATATGAGTTTTAAAAGGTCATTAACAAGGGGTTGGAGCTAAGTCACGATACAAGTTCGAATAGGTCAGCAACATAGGATTGGAGCTAAGTGAAGATGGGGTAATAGCTAATTCAAGATATAAGTTCTACAGAGTCACCAACGTGGGGTTGGGGCTCAGTAAAGATACAGGTTCTAAAGGGTCATATCAACAATGTGGGGTTGGAGCTAAGGTAATATACAACTTTTACTAAATAAGATGCAAGTTCCAAAGGGTTAACAACATGGGGTTGATGCTAAGTCAATTTGCAAGTTCCAAAGGGTTAACAACATGGGGTTGGGGCTAAATCATGATGCGGGTTCTCCAGAGTCAAGAACGTGGGGCTGGAGCCAAGTCAAACTACAGGTTCTAAAGGGTCAATGACGTGGGATTGGAGCTAAGTCGAAATATATGGGTTCAAAAGGATCAATAACGTGGGGTCGGAGCTAAGTCGAAATATATGGGTTCTAAAGGATCAATAAGGTGGGGTTGGAACTAAGTCAAGATACAAGTCCTAAAGGGTCAATACCGTGGGGTTGGAGTTAAGTCAAAATACAAGGGTTCTAAAGTGTCAATAACGTGGGGTTGGAGCTAAGTCAAAATACAAGGGTTCTAAAGTGTCAATAACGTGGGGTTGGAGCTAAGTCAAAACACAAGGGTTCTAAAGTGTCAATAACGTGGGGTTGGAGCTAAGTCAAAATACAAGGGTTCTAAAGTGTCAACAACGTGGGGTTGGAGCTAAGTCAAAATACAGGTTCTAAAGGGTCAATAACGTGGGCTGGAACTAAGTCAAGATACAAATCCTAGATCGTCAACAATTTGGGGTTGGAGCTAAGTCAGAATAATAATAATGATAGTGTTGTTCATTTCTAAAGAGCCCACTCCCATGTGAACACAGCTTTAGGCGCTTTACATAAATGCATGTACGAACAATATTCATGCACACACGCACGCATGCACACACGCACGCACACATGCACGCACGCACGCACATACACACATAATATACTTGTTTATCACATCGTTACGAAATGAGCAGATACAAATACATAAAATAATATACATAATGCAATTCTCAAAATACATAAATGGATACATAAGTCATTTACATAACATTGTACTGAACATGAATCTACTGAAATAAAAATGATATTCCTTTAAAAATATTCTAAAGTTAGACTCAGATGTATATCTCAAGAATTGGGGAAGAGAGTTTCTAACTGATACTGATAGCATGATCTTAGTGATCTAGATGGAATATAAATCTGGATGAGATCACTAAGATATGAGGGAGCTTTGTTACTGACACATTAATGACTTAATATTACAATTTTATAATGGTTCTAAAAGGGTGAATAACATGCGATTGGGGCTATGTCAATACATAGTTTCTAAAAGGGTCAACAACGTGGGGTTGGAGCTAAGTCAAAATGCAGGTTCTAAAGGGTCAGTAATGTGGGGTTGGAACTAAGTCAAGACACAAGTCCTAAATCGTCAACAATTTGTGGTTGGAGCTAAGTCAAAATAATAATAATGATAATGTAGATCATTTCTATAGACCCCACTCCCGTGTAAACACAGCTTTAGGCGCTTTACATAAATGCATGTATGAACAATATTCATGCACGCATGCACGCACGCACGCATGCATGCACACACACGCACGCACACTACTTGCTAATCGTTAAGAAATGAGCAGATGCAAATACATAAAATAATAAAAACAATGCAATTCGCAAAATAAATGGATACATAAGTCATTTACATAACATTGTACTGAACATGAATCTACAGATATAAAAATGATATTTCTTTTAAAATATTCTAAAGTGAGACTCAGATGTTGTATATCTTAAGGATTGGGGAAGAGAGTTCCAAACTGATACTGATTGCATGATCTTAGTGATCTAGATGGAATATAAATCTGGATGAGATCACTAAGATATGAGGGAGTTTTGTTACTGACACATTAATGACCTAATATTGCAATTTTATATGGGTTTTAAAAGGGTGAACAATATGCGGTTGGGGCTATGTCAATACATGGGTTCTAAAAGGGTCAAAAACGTGGGGTTGGAGCAAAGTCAAGATACAAGTTCTAAAGCGTCAATAACGTGGGGTTGGAACTAAGTCAAGACACAAGTCCTAAATCGTCAACAATTTGAGGTTGGAGCTAAGTCATAATAATAATGACAATGTAGATCATTTCTATGGAGCCCACTCCTATGTAAACACAGCTTTAGGCGCTTTACATAAATGCATGTACGAACAATATTTATGCATGCATGCATGCACGCACGCACACACACGCACGCATCTACTTGCTTATCACATCGTTAAGAAATGAGCAGATACAAATACATAAAATAATAAACAATGCAATTCGCAAAATAAATGGATACATAAATCATTTACATAACATTGTACTGAATATGAATCTACAGAAAAAATGATATTTCTTTTAAAATATTCTAAAGTTAGACTCAGATGTTGTATATCTTAAGGATTGGGGAAGAGAGTTCCTAACTGATACTGATTGCATGATCTTAGTGATCTAGAAGGAACATAAATCTGGATGAGATCACTAAGATATGAGGGAGCTTTGTTACTGACACATTAATGACCTAATATTGCAAGTTTATATGGATTCTAAAAGGGTGAATAACATGCGGTTGGGGCTATGTCAATACTTGGGTTCTAAAAGGGTCAACAACGTGGGGTTGGAACTAAGTCAAAATACACGTTCTAAAGAGTCAACAACTTGGGGTTGGAGCTAAGTCAAGATACAAGTTTTAATGCGTTAACAAAGAAGATTTGAAAAATTAAGTTCTAGTGGGTCAACAATGAATCTTCGGCGCTATGGCAAGAATATGTGATCTAAAGGGTCAACAATGAGGGGTCAGAGAAAGTAAAACTGGAGACTATATTAACTTTGGCTGTTGAAGCATGTTTTTTTTTTCATTGTAAACAAGCTTTTGAATAAGTATCTATTTCGTAGCACTAAAAAAAGCTTTCAACGTCCTGGACGTGGCACTTTTGTCGTGCAGGCATTTCTCGGTCCTCTGGTCCTCTGGTCCTCCAGTCGCAAAGATAATCCTCCAGGATTGTAGGAGGCCGTTGTAATGAAAACGTGTCAAAGAAAATCCTCTGAGATACTTACAGTTCAATATAAAAGTATTCATTATATAAGGCGGTACAGAGAAGTTTAAGGTGGGTTACTAATGACAAGTGCATGTATTTTAGAGAATACCTAAATGCAAAAATATTTTGCAAATATTCAAAATTTTCTTTAACAAATAACAAGGAAAGTGTAAATAGCAATATTACGTACTGTTTGGATTTGAATCACATTAATCCTGACAAATGTAGGCTATAATTATTCAGTATAATTTCAGGACTTATAAAAGACAAGGGGGCAATTTTTGAGAAACACCTAAATGCAAAAATGAAACGTTCAGATCAACCAATGATTACTCTTTTACTTTAAGTAATCATAAGTTACATAATGTCTTTTGTCAGTGAGTAGTTGATTGATTGATTGGGTAGATGTTTTACGGCACTATTGACACAATTTTGGTCATTTAAGCGCCAACAAGTTTCATCGCTACAAAATCAGTTTTAAGTAAGAATCTTTCGGAGCTCTCAACCGCACACGATCACACTATTTTCATTATGCTAAAAAGACGAACAAAGATTTTTTTTTATTTATATGGAAAAGACTTATTACATTTGTATATACAATATAAATTCCAGTGTATGTGTATATATATACACCGATAACGTTAACTATATATTTTCATATTCTATTCAGTGAGTAGAGCGCAAGAAACGTTTCAAAGACAATTACCTTCTCAGGCTGCCCATCATTCATCACTGTTATTTGCAGTCTTTGAGTCACATAGGTGATCATACAGGCTGTCCTGTCCCACTGGTAGTATCAGAGCACCTACCACAGGATGGTCGAAAGCCAAAGGAACAGCTGGCAGTGTTGTTTGATCCACTGTGTATACATTTTACAATACCACTGATACAATTCTGACAGTCCAACACCAACATGCTGCAAAGAACAATCCAGTATACAGAAGTCACTTCAACACTCAAGCTCAAAATCAGCAAGCAGCTCTTCCCAGCCAGTTCTACACCTGCTACCCCCTTCCCCCTGAAAAGACTCAATCTACCTCTGCCTCCCTTCCACCCCCCTCCCACAAAAAAATCGTACACTGCCCCCTCAACTCCCTCCCGCCATGGCCATGGCATTGCTATCTACAAAATCCTACTCTTAACCAACCCTGCCCACCTAGCTCCCTATCAACCTATCCTTACAGGGTCACAGCAGTGTAGGTATGGGTCCTTTAAAGGGGAAGGGGGTGACAGAAGTAGAATTGGGTGGGAAGAGCTGCCTAATGATTTTCAGTTTGAATGTTGGAAGTGAATTTTGCATACTAGCTTGTTCTTTGCAGCTTGTTAGTGCTGCACTGCCATTACTGTTTTAATGATGCTGTAAAATGTATACTCAAAAATGGATCAAACAAACATTACCAGTAGTTGTTTATTTGACCTTCTACCTTCTGTGGTAGACTTACTGATAACACCAGTGCCTTCTTGTCGAAAAGCCCGATGAGTGACAGTAGTCTGAGAAAAAGAAATTCAAAGTGAAATCAGTATGAATTATCAAATTTTGAGTTTAAGCACATTCATGTTCGAGCACCTAGATTATTTAAAACGTTATTACTCAAAAAAGCACATTCTATTTACATAAGCTATGTAGTAAAAAAATTATAGCATGTGATACAAAAAGGAAGTTTGCTCTTCAAGGGAAAGTATAAACCCTACATTGTGTCCACTTTTCAATCATTTAAAAATTGCGGTGCCAGTATTCATATGCTGGTGTGAAAAGAAAGACATGACCATTGCAAGCTGAAAAATAAGTACAACATTCAAATGGCTCTGAAGCAAACAGCTTTAATTGTTTTCCGTTGAATTACGTCAAGTACGAGCAATATTTGTGGGTCTATTTTCAGGAGCCATTAGACAGGTCCAGTGGCATTTGGAGTGAAACCTTAAGATAAAAATGAAACTTTCAAGTTAACCTAGCATTAGATATTCTGATTGTCTTGAAACGTCTAAATAGACCAAGCCATCTTTCAAAGACAAGTACCTCCAAGGGCTGATCATCCTACAAAAGCTTGATTCTCGATACTGTGGACATGGACAATCTTCGGGGGCTGTAGGCGATCAACCGGTGTTGTAGGCAGTCCTGGTGATGACAACAATGTGTCAAAGATTGATTGATTGATTGTAAATAATTGGTTGTATTATTGAGTAGGTGCTTTTTACGGCACTGTCAACGTGTCAAAGAAAATCCTACATCTCGTGTTATATTTAATATCATGGGTAAAAAGCATTCTATATACTGGTGTCGATAAAGGAAATTCTTTAACATCTATTTCGTTTCATTTAGTTTCAAAGGATAAAAGCATTCCCTTTTCGGACAGAAAAATAGTAAAAGGCAGGAGGAGGCCAATACGCAAAAATCACATTCATATTTTAAAGCAAGAGCCACCAGGGCAAAAGTTTAAAATGTTCTAGTGACATTGAATAATATTAAGCAAAAATTCTGAAGCAACCAATATAAAACAGCTATTTGAATTATATTTATAATAAGAAAATGTTCAACTCTTACGAACATTTGTAAGACCCATTAAATAATGTCTTAATTGGAGATTAATGTATCTGCCAATAGTGTTCAAAAACAACTTTTGAAAACAAATACCTACTAAGGCTGATCATCATTCATCACTTCCCGTCTTTCAACGAACAGTCGAGATAGACAGTCCTCCGGGCTTGTCTGATCCGTCACTCCTCCAGGTAGTTCTCTGGACCTCCGTCCGGTCTTCCATCTCTGTAGACAATCCTGGTGATGATGGGACAAGGTTCTCTTGTGTTAATAGTTTCAAACAATTTTGAAATTCCCTTTACTGAATAATACTGATCAATAAGACAAATTAATAATTATGTAAAGTGTTCATTTTAAACTTGTTGGGTAATTTTTTAGTTGGAGTTTTCTACACCCTCATCAACACAATTTAGATCACTTTGAGTGTAGATTTTCGACATTTCAAGTCGAACCCTGATTCATCGATAGGAATTCTTTTTTTATAATCATTATGAATTAGACAATGTCCTAATATGGAACTTAAGTCTCATTGAATAGTGTTGCAAGACATACTTAAATGACAAATACCTTCTGGTGCTGATCATTATTCATCACTTTTCGTTTCTTGACAGTCTTGATATAAACGATCCATTTGTCCATCGTCGGTCTGCCGGGCCCTCCAGAACCGTATTGATGAAAGAAAAAATGAAACTTTCACACGTACCAAAGCATATTCTTTTAGCTAGTACAAAAATTATAGGTTACATAAGTCCTTAATAAGTCAACGAGTAGAATATCAAGATATATTTCAAAGACAATTACCTTCTCAGGCTGTCCATCACTCATCACTTCGTATTTGCAGTCTTCCAGTCACATGGGTGATCCTACAGGCTATCCTGTCCCACTGGTAGTATCAGAACACCTGCCACAGGAAGGTCAAAAGCCAAAGGAACAGCTGGCAGTGTTTGTTTGATCCACTGAGTATACATTTTACAACACCACTGATACAATTCTGACAGTGCAACACCAACACGCTGCAAAGAACAACCCACTATACAAAAGTCACTTCAACATTCAAGCTGAAAATCAGCAAGCAGCTCTTCCCAGCCAGCTCTACACCCGTCACACCCTTCCCCCTGAAAAGACTCAATCTACCTCTGCCTCCCTCCACCACCACCCCACCCCCCACCAAAATAAAATAAAAAATCGTACACTGCCCCCTCAACTCCCTCCCGCCATGGCCATGGCAATACTATCTACAAAATCCTACTCTTAACCAACCCTGCCCACCTAGCTCTCTATCAGCCTATCCTTACAGGGCCACAGCAGTGTAGGTATGGGTCCTTTAAAGGGGGAAAGGGATGACAGATGTAGTAGAATTGGGTGGGAAGAGCTGCCTAATATTTTCAGCTTGAATGTTGGAAGTGAATTTTGCATACTAGCTTGTTCTTTGCAGCTTGTTGGTGCTGCACCGCCATTACTGTTTCAATGATGCTGTAAAATGTATACTCAAAAATGGATGAAAACAAACACCACCGGTTGTTTATTTGACCTTTTACCTTCTGCCGTAGACTTACTGATAACACCAGTGCCTCTTGCCGAAAAGTCCGATGAGTGGCAGTAATCTGAGAAAAATAAATTCAAAGTGAAATCAGTGTGAATTATTAAATTTTGAGTTTAAGCACATTCAGGTTCGAGCATCTAAATTATTTCAAACGTTATTATTCAAATGCAGCACATTCTGATTACATAAGCTATATAGTAAAAACTTGTACCATGTGATACAGAAAGGAAGTTTTGCTCAAAGTATAAACCCTACATTATGTCCACCTTATAATCATTTAAAAATTGCGGTGCCAGTATTCATATGCTGGTGTGAAAAGAAAGACATGACCATTTCAAGCTGACTGAAAAATAAGTGCAACATTCAAATGGCTCTGAAGCAAACATCTTTAATTGTTTTCCGTTGAATTACGTCAATTACGAGCAACATTTGTAGGTCTATTTTCAGGAACCATTAGACAGGTCAAGTGGCATTTTGAGTGAAACCTTTTGATAAAAATGAAACGTTCAAGTTAACCTAGCATTAGGTATTCTGATTGTTTTTAAACGTCTAAATAGACCAAGACATCTTTCAAAGACAAATACCTTCAAAGGGTGATCATCCAACAACAGCTTGATTCTCGATACTGTGGACATGGACAACCTTCGGGGGCTGTAGGCGATCAACCAGTTTTGTAGACAGTCCTGGTTATATAAACAATGTGTCAAAAATTGGTTGAATTATTGAGTAGGTGTTTTTTACGGTACTGTCAATGTAAAGAAAATCTCACATCTCGTGTTCTATTTAATATCATAGGTTAAACGCATACTATATACTGGTGTCGATAAAGGAAATCCTTTAACATCTATTTCGTTTCATTTAGTTTCAAAGGATAAAAGCATTCCCTATCATCATTATCTTCCAGTGCCAGATCTGCGACAGACATCTGCGATCATGATTTTCCATTCATTCCTTTGCTCGGATGCTCTCAGAAAAGCTAAGTTTCCCTGATCTTTCCCTGTTACCCATTTGTTTAGGTTCCCTAGGTATGTTGTTCTGGGCCTATCCCTGCCTCGCTTGCCCTCAATTTTGCCAGTGAGAGCTAGATGTTCAAGACCCTTATGTCTATTCAGGTGTCCCAAAAACTGCATTTGTCGTTTCCTGATTGTTTTTAACATTGAGCGTCCCACGTGGGCTTCATTCCCTATACTGACAGAAAAGTAGTAAAAGGCAGGAGGAGGCCAAAGTGCAAAAATCACATTTATGATTTAAAGCAAGAGCCACCGGGTCAAATGTTAAAAATGTTCTAGTGACATTGAATAATATAAGGCAAAAATTCTGAAGCAACCAATATCATAAAACAGTTTTTATTTGAATTAGATTTATAATAAGAAATTAATGTTCAACTCTAACTAATATTTATAAGACCCATTAAATATGCCCTTACTGCCAATAGTGTTCCAAAACATTTTTTAAAAAGAAATACCTACTAAGGCTGATCATCATTCATCACTTCTCGTCTTTCAACACACAGTCGAAATAGACAGTTCTCCGGGTCTGTATGATCCACGGCACTGTATGATCCACCACTCCTGAAAACAGCTCTATGGACCTCTCTGCAGTTTTCCTGCCCTGTAGACGATCCTGGTGATGATGTACCATAGGATATCCTCTTGTGTCAATTAATAGTTTCAAAGAATTTTGAAATGCCCTTTATTGGCTAACACTGATTACTAAGAGAACTTAATTCGAAAAAGTGTTTACTTTAAATTTGTTGGATTTTTTTTTTTTTTTGGTAGAGTAGGAGTTGTTTTTTACTACCCCATCAACACAATTTAGATCATTTAGGGAGTAGATTTCCGACATTTTCTATTGAACCCAACCTCATAGAAAGGTATACTAATTTTAGATTCATTATGAGTTAGGTAATGCCCTAATATGGAACTTAAGTCTCATTGAATAGTGTTGCAAGACATACTTAAATGCCAAATACCTTCGGATGCTGACCTTCATTCATCACTTTTCGTTTCTTGACAGTCTCGATATAAACAGTCCGTTGATCCAGTCGTAGGTCAACCGGGTCCTCCAGAATCGTTTTGATGAAAGAAAAAATGAAACTTTCTCAGGCACCAATGAATATTTTTTTTGTTGGTACAAAAATTATATGTAACATAAGTCCATAATAAGGCAGTGAGTAGGATTGCAAGAAATATTTCAAAGACAATTACCTTCTAAGGGTGCCCATCATTCATCACTCCGCATTTGCAGTCTTCCAGTCACATAGGTGGTCCTACAGGCTGTCCTGTCCTACTGGTAGTATCAGAGCATCTACCATAAGATGGCAAAAAGCCAAAGGAACAGCTTGCAGTATTTCCTGTATTACCTGTCCTGGGCAACAACGTCATTGCACACCGGATAGGTCCATAAGTGCTCAGTTCCCCCCAGCGCCAAAGCCCGCAAGGTATCCATACTGATTGTTCCGGTGGCTGTCTGATTATGGCGACGTCTTTCCAGATAATCGTTCCTTTCTTCCTTCTCCCCTCTCTATCCCCATTTCCCGCATCTTAATGATTGCGTGGTGTACTGCTGTCTCCTTGTCTTCTTCCTCCCGCAACTTTTTCTCAGGGGTCTTCAACACTTCTCCTTTGTTAGATTTCACCTCACCATCAACCACGGCACTGCCTGCCAGCCTATCAGCCCCCTCATTGCCTTTCACTCCAGAGTGCCCAGGACAGAATATCCATGTGATTGCTCGAAGTGATGAGTGTTGTATTGGGTTCATCCATTCACTCCGAAGTAGCCCTTTCTCAACCCTTCGCAAGATGCTCTGGGAGTCCGTGACAAGGATGAGATGAGTTGTTCTTGGTCTTGTATTATGAAGCCATCCAAGCGCTCTTGTTACGGCCTCAATCTCCATGTTCATGCTTGAAGTTGTTCTTTCTATGGCCCCTGACATGCCAAGAACCTTTTTGTTCCCACTGTACACCACAAAACCCCATCCACTTCTCTCACCCCTCCTGACTGATCCATCCGTATAGATCACTGGGTCCTCTGACTTGGAATGCTCCTCAATTAACTGTCGTATATCATTGTCGTTAATGACAGCAGCACATTCCCGTCTTTCACGACCCATAGTGATGTGAACGTTGGCCAGGCTTCTGCAATCGGGACTCAGTTCAAACCATTCCTTTCCACAGCATATTTCATCGATGCCACAAACTTTCCTCAAGGAGTCTTCGGTTTCTGCCATCCATGACCTGCCCCGTTTGATCCTGTTTCCTTTGATGCTGCCCAGGTTCTCATGCAAAGGATGCCTCGGGTCTCCCAAAACATTCAAGTACAGCTTTGCCTGTGCCACCTGATGCCTCATTCTGATGCTGGCCAGGTCAAGGATGTATCTCATACAGACAACATGGGTGTCCTTTGTGCAACCTAGAACGGCCCTCATAACTGCATTTTGTACTCTCTCCAACCTGTCTATGTGAGTCTTGGACAGGGAGAGGATGCCCAGCCCATAGTCTATGACTGACAGAACCACCAGCTGCATTAGGAGAAAAAGTCAGTGCCTTCTTGCCGGAAAGTCCGATGAGTGACAGTATTCTGAGAAAAATAAATTCAAAGTGAAATCAGTTTGAATTATTAAATTTTGAGTTTAACCACATTCATGTTCGAGCATCTAGATTATTGCATACCTGATTATTTAAATGCAGCACATTCTATTTACATAAGCTAAGTAGAAAAAATTGTAACATGTGACACAGAAAGGAAGTTTTGCTCTTCAAGGAAAGGTATAAACCCTACATTGTGTCCACCTTTAAATCATTTCAAAATTGAGCTACCAGAATTCCTACGCTGGTGTGAAAAGACAGATATGGCTAATACAAGCTGAAAAATAAGTACAACCTTCCAATGACACTGAAGCAAACCGTTTTAATTGTTTTCGTTTGAATCACGTCGATTACGAGCAACATTCGTAGGTCTATTTTCAGGAGCCATAAGACAGGTCTAGTGGCAGTTTTGAGAGAAACCTCAAAGTAAAAATGAAACTTTCAAGTTACCTAAAATTAGGACCGTATTCTGATTGCTTTTTTAAACGTCTATACAGGCCAAGACATCTTTCAAAGACAAATACCTTCAAGGGCTGACCATCCTACAACACTTCTTGATTCTCGATACAGTTGATATGGACAATCTTCTGATCCTGTAGGCGATCAACAGGTGCTGTAGGCAGTTCTGGTGATGAAAACAATGTGTCAAAGATAGATTGATTGAATACAAAGTGTCAAAAATTGATTGAATGATTGAGTGGGTGTTTTACGGCACTCTCAATGTGTCCGAGAAAATTCAACATATCGTGTTTTATTTAGTATCATAGGATAAAAATATTCTATACCGGTGCCAATAAAGAAAATTCTTTAACATCTACTTCGTTTTTATTTAGTTTCAAAGGACAAAATCATTCCCTATACTGGCAGAAAAGTAGTAAAAGGCAGGAGGAGGCCAAAATGCAAAAATTACATTATGATTTAAAGCAAGAGCCACCGGGTCAAATGTTCAAAAAATGTTCTAGTGAGATGGAATAATATAAGGCAAAGATTCTGAAGCAACCAATATCATAAGACAGTTTCTATTTGAATTAGATTTATAATAAGAAATT